TTGCACAAGGAGAGGCTTCCGTCTAGCCACTCTGTCATAAAGGCTAGATGGGTGGAGAGCTGCAGTGATGGTTGTCTTTCTGGAACTTGTCCTATCTCCACAAAGGATCTCTGGAGCTCAGAGTGACCATCTCAGAGTGGTTGCCTCTCTTACTAAAGCCCTTCTATCTTGGATTGCTCAGTTTCGCCGGGCGACCAGCTCTTGGAGAGTCCTGGTTGTGCCAAACTTGTTCCATTTGAGAACTATGTAGGCTGTGCTCTTTGGAACCCTTCAGTGCAGCAGAATTTTCTGTGCCTTGCAATTATCCAGTCTCTAATGTCTGCAGGCAGTTCCCTTTGACCTCATGGCTTTTGCTCTGATACAGTACGCATTGTCAGCTGTGGGACCTTCTATAGAGAGGTGTGTGCCTTTCTAGATCATGTCCAACCAATTTAATTTACCACAGGTGGACTTCAATCAAGGTGTAGAAACGTCTCCGCAACAATCAAGAGAAATGAGAGGCACCTGAACTAAATTTCAAGTGTTGTTGCAAAGGGTCTGAATACTTATGCAAATTTAATATTTCAGTTTTTTCTTTTTAATAAATTCAGACATTTCTAAAATTCTATTTTCACTTGTCATTAAGAGATACTGAGTGTAGATTAATACATTTAAACAACTGTAGTATCAGGCTGAAACATAAAATTAAAAAAATGAATACACACACACATATACAATATATATATTGTATATGCCACCCGAGATATAAAAGTGAAAAGACAGTGTGAAATTGTATGCCGTCATAACGAGCAGACCATAAAACTATTTCTGCAAATTTTATTTTGCAGCCGCCAATCTGGGAGTGGCAGAACGCTCAGTTACACAGGCTTGCAGCGCAATTTAGAGTGATGGAAACTGCAAAGCCATCTAATTCATAGAAGGCCTGTGCTCCTTCCCCTCCCCTATCTTGTTCCATAAATCACTCTGGCAGGTAGCTGGGAAGCAGCTGCTAATGATAGCTTTACTCTGGAGCAGAGGAAGTCACCTTTTAACCCAGCCTGCTGTTGTTTGTCTTTTAAAACTGGGACAAAAGAACAGATGGGAACGGAATACCAACTGTTGAAAGGATCTGGTCAGCAATCCTGAAAAGACCCTCAAAACACACACCTCTCCAATGACCAAGCTTCACCTTACAGTCTGCAGGCGGCATAATGAGCAGCCAACATAAGCAGCCTAGTTCCCTAATGAATTATTGGTTGGCTATACAGTTGTCTCTCACTATCGCAAACCTTTCAAGAGCACTTGATATTCCTGCGGAGGAAGAGAGGGTGTTACAATTTGAAAAGGGAAGCAGATGACTCACTGATTCAACACCACGGATAATATGCTCCTCCCTTGTATTGCCTTGACCTTGGTTGATCTGACCACTAAGATCATGTTCGCTTTAGTTTTTCAATGATTCATCTACTGCAGTGGAGTGGAATGTGATGCTGCCTTCAGGGCAGAAGCATTTTTTTTTTATTGAGCTCCCAGATGAGTAAAAATGATTTTACTGTGACCTGATGTATCACAGCTAAAGCTGCAGTTAAGGCATCCAAGTGAGCCATCTTTAGGCTGTGAAAACAGACACTTTTCTAATCCTGCACCTTATATGAGCAACACGTGTATAAACTGAGGGGGGTAACAAGTATAATATAGCCCCCCTCAAAGCATCGGGTGCATGCCACTGGACACACATAACACACTGTCACTCTGAGCAGCTATCAGGACAAGAAAAAGAAAACTTCTGGTTTACAATTTAAAGCAAAACTCCAGGCATTTTATATGCTTTACATACAGCTGGGGTGAGAACCTCATCCGCATTTATTTCGTACGTTCGCATTTCGTACGTGCCCCCACTGGGGAGATTTCCACTTCCTATTCTTGAAATCCCAGCATTGACAGTAGTCTGCTCAAGGAGAGATTTCCTCTCACTTCCTGTGTGCATTAAAAAAACCTGCAAGAGGCTAGAGATCTTCCTTTCTCTAGCCCTCACCCCCCAAAAAATGGATGACCTGGATTTCAAGTGGTTAAAACAAGCTCATGGCTGAAGCAGCCACACACTTGCTATGGTTTTGTTCAGCCAGCTCCAGTAAATGGCTATCCAGTAAAATTGATCTACGGCCACCTGGTCACATTTACAGGGATGTAAAGGTGATGACCCTCAATGCCACTGTGGTTCTCCAGAGCCCAGGACCATGGTAAACGATGTCCAGATGGCTAGAAGGGGAGATCGGGGAACATATGTTATGACCTGCTCGATGGCCAATGAACCAGGAAGCGCTGTGCTCTGAGCACTTCCGGGTTTAGGGCTGTCAAATTCCCATTATTAATAAATGTGTTTGCGACAAAACTCTTAATTGCAAAGACCAAAATCTCATGCTAACTACCCACAAAGTTGTATCTCGGTTATGCATCTTTAAGTGTTCTTGCGACATATTAATGTTTGTGACTTAATGCACGCTATACGACATTTTGCATAATTTCTCAACTTTGCGGTAACTGCTCCCAGCATTTACAACATTAAAAGATCTCCAAATTGTGGCACATTTTGAGCACTTCTGAAAGTAGCGCAAAGATAACTCAGCTTCATTCCCTCAAGTCAGCTAAGCACTTCAGGGATATTCAGCCGTCCTCCAGGTTTGCAACAGCTTTGAGACAATTTAGAGACAATTCTCCTTATGATGACAGGAATGAAACATAACTAGGATAAACCTGTCACTATATGGACATGAAATCAGGGATGCAACAGTTTAAAAGTGCTGATGATATGACCAAACTGATAAATGTCCCCCACAATGGTTGATACGCGTGTTGTGATACGAAGGGGCCCAAGAGGTATGTTCTGGCACCTTTAAGGGTTTTGCAAAGATAGGGATGAAGTTAAACAGTCTCAACTATCTGCTTTTGTGGGCGCCAGTGCCCGTTTTACTGTCAGCAATATCTTACTACTGGATGTCCCAGAGAATGGGTGGAAATTTAAAACATTACAAATTACAAACTGCATTACAGGAGGCACTGGAAATGTCAATGAGAGTGCACAATAGACTGAAGTATAACTAGAGGCTAATTTTTATATTTACTCTTTCAGGACAACTGTCTAGAAGGGGATTTCTTACACATTGAAAAGATAACCCATCACTTCCTGTTGAATCTATAGGACAAGAAGTGAAGAAAAATCTCCCCAATGAGAGACAGATTGCAAGCAAATAATTTTACTTGGTTTTAACTAGGGATGCACAGATACTAGTATCGGAGGCCATACCGAGCACTTGGGCGAGGGAGCATGGAGCCGGCTTCGCCGGGCCTCGTGGCTTACTGGTTGGCTGGGAAGCCGGCTTCACTTGTTGCTAGGCAGCCTGGCTTCCTGACCAATCAGGAAGCCCAGGAGGCGGGCCATGATGTGGCGCCCAGCTTCCTGATTGGCTAGGAAGCCAGGTTCACTTGTTGATAGGCAGGAAGTCAGGCAGCCTCGGCAAGTGAAGTTGGTGTTCTTTCGATAGAACACTGGCTTCCCAGGCAATCAGAAAGCCGAGCAGCGGGTCAGCTGTGGAATCAGTAAAATTAAATAAGGTTCCCAAAACTGCTTTTGTCCTGTAATATCAATGTAAATAAATTAATTAAAGTAATTCCCATTCTATATTCATTGCCCTTACTTCACATATTAAAGATTTGCCTACATGTGATTCAGGTTTCAAAAGAGAAAATCCCCCTTGGCTGCCCAGTCAACCTTACGACACTGACAGCATGAAGTGTGGTACACACATCAACACTTACATCTACACACAATGCTTACAGCCACTACTGTCCATGCAACCAATGGTTTTGCATATAGCAATCTAAAAACTGGTAGCTTTGGGCAACACTTCTAATCAGTACAAATTTCTTGGTATAGAACTAGCAAAACCACAAAAAGACAACTGAACTGAGAGCAACAATTACCAAGATGCACAATTTGATGACTAGAGACAATTTGATTGTATTCAGATTTTATGTCTATGTCTCTTTTTTATTTATTTTCTACTTGCTACCCTGTGGATGACCTACCAGAAGTCTCTATTTTGCTTTAGAACGGTTCTGATGTTTTGCCATACGAACCTATATGGCCTTTCTTTGGATGTAATTTACAACTATACCTTTGCAATAAAAATATTTGTACAACAAGATGCACAATTTGTGCAATCTACCATGATGGAAAATCTGCATGAGCAATTAGTATTTAAGATGCTCAGATCACAGTTAACTGGATTGTGCTGAGCAAAACAAGAAGCTGTAGCATTAGTTGCAAATATCAGACCCTTAAATAAACCCTGTAGCCTTGTCCATTCAGCGAAAATGACAGGGTCTCTTTAAAGTCCAGACCTTAACCAAATTATACTCGCTTCCACCAGACTCCTCCACAACTCCTGCAAAATACACTGCTTCTGTGAATGGGGTAGCATTTAACCATTTCCCATGATGCAGCGCTGGGACCTAGCAGTTGGCAGCTAGGTTCCAGCACTGCATCATGGGAGATATTCAAATGCTTTTCCATTTGAAGCACAGTTTATTGTGCAGCAGTTACAAAGAAAAGAGCAGTGATTAAACATTGTCACATGATGGAGGGTTTGATATCATTGCTCCCTGTAAGCTCCTACAACTCTGGTATATGGCAGTGGATGAACGCTGTAAAGGTAGAACTAGGTAGAGGTACCTATAGGGGCTCTGCCACTTTTCCCTAAATAAGCAGGGCGATGCTCTCCGGGGATTTCTTGCCTTTGCTCAAATTTATATTTCAGATCTACAGAAGTGGAACAGTAGGCTAGCACCCTCAGATTTGGAAATGCAAAACCTGGAAAGGCCTGCAATACTAATACAATGCTCCATAAATAAAGTCCATGTCATGTGATGGTGATGAGTACAATATTTCTATAAGCAGTTTAAAACATAAATCATCTTATGGTCAGTCCAGTAATTTTTTTTCAGCAATGGTTAGTACTTACTGCAAAAACATCATCGTCCCCGAGCTCAGCCTCATTATGAATTGTGGAAGAAGACGTGGTAGATCCTTAAAAGGAGGAAAACACATTAATGTTAAGTCACTTACTAAACACATACTAAACACATATTGTAACATTTCAGTTCATGCATTTCCTAAACACATGTACATCCTCTCACACAGGTATTTTAGAAAGCAGTCTTTAGGAAATGAAAACCAGTGAGAGCTATTAAAAATGCTTAAACCACTCATGCTCATCGAGGGGCTGAGGTACTATAGGAGGTTTCAAGATATTTCATACACAAATGTGCATGAAAGAGAAACCATGAGTGCAGAAATAGCAAAGTGACAACTCCTGACTTATAAAAGGACCAGGTTCTAGGCCTGTCATCATATGCCTAGTTTAACTACCTAAAGCAGAAATAGCCAGGACACCCTAAAAAGAGTGCTGGCTATTTATGCTCTACATTTGTGTGTTGCCATTGTTCATGGCACACCCTACTACACTGTTTTGAGAGATCATGGGACAGGGTTTTGAATTTTGGTTTAACTACCTACCTGGTGGGTCACTGACATAGAACAAGAATGAAGACCGCAAGGCCTCGTTCACACCAGACAGTGTGTTCCGGCCCGATTCTGGCCAGAACACACTGCATCGAGCGGTTCAAACAAAATAATGTTTGCAGCATTTTGTTAGAACCGGACAAGACCGCAGGCATAATGTGCTTCTACACTTGCCTGCGGCCTCCGACCCATACATTGCTAACGGCTGCCTCATTGGCCAGGGGGAATGTGTAGGAGGTGAGAGAAGGAAGGGGAAACACTAGCGCTACCAGGAGTGCCGCAGTTTTGCCTGATCAGTAGGGCCCAGCATTTGGACAGTGGCACTAGAAGCTGTTGCAGGTACCTGAAGGTCCCACTAGGTGTCCACTATATATACACGTGTTAGAAGCTAGTTTTTGGCATTACAAGTGACAGATTCACTTTAGGAAGGTAAAACAGTTCATATACACTGAGTGGCCAGATTATTATGACCACCCCATCAGTACTTCGTTGGGCCACGAGAGGACTCCACGAGATGACTTCGTTGGGCCGCCTCGTGACTCCACGAGATGTTGAAAGGTGATGCGAGGAATCTGACACTGCACTGTTGCCCTGTACCAGTCTTGCCAGTCTCGAAATTATAGCTAATTTGTCTACAAACGTCAGGTGGTCATAATAATCTGGCCACTCAGTGTATACGCTTAACTTCTGTATTTAGTGATTTGCCTGGAGTTCTAATTTGATACTATGTAGAATGCAGAAGTAGGAAGAACTAGGGTGGGGATATCTTGCTGCCAGAGGTGCAGAGAGTAGGAAAAAGCTAGAGGGCAATGCAGATTTTATTAAAAACTTAGAGCTCCAGTTTGGTTATTTATTTATTTTATATCCAGCACCAGTGGATGAAGTGTGTCTCACATCCTGCTGGCTGCTTCTTAGTGCAGAAGAAATCTTCCCTCCACTGACGTTGGATATTGCCAACAGCGCCGATCTTCCAGCACTGCTGTGGTTAAGATAAGTGGCTGCGACTGTGAACCATCGGCGCTACACGTCCTTCCCCTTCCTTCTTTCTCACCCATTCACAGAACTCTTAGTATTCTTTCCCAGAAGCACTCTGCAATTGGAAGAGGCAGATCCTTTCTCTGCCCTTCCTCCATTCACTGAATGCTTTGCATTCGTGGAAAAAATACTATGGGGGGAATTTATCATGGCAATTGCGAGTGTTTGAACTCGCATGTGGTTGCATGGGATATATTTGCGCCAGATTTATGTTGCTAGTTTAATGTTGTTCATAAATGAGAATAAATAGGCTCCAGGAAAGAAGATTCCAAACTCCAGGCAAAAAGCTTAACTGTCGCTTCTTGAAGAAGTGGTCTCGGCGACTTCTTAAGTAGCGATTGTTTTGTTAGGTGATGCTCCAGTTTCAGACAGCTACAGGACAAGCGCAGATGTAAACAGTTGCAAACTTTCGCAAAACATGTGAAATTGTAAAAATAGTGCAAGTTCCGGTCAAAACAGGCACACACGTTAAGAGGCTAAACAGATTTGCACATTAAAAAAAAAAAAGTCTAAAGAGGATAAAACTGTTGCAAGTGTTTTAATAAACCCCCCATGAGTTCTGTGAATGAGCGAGAGGGGACAAGGAGGAGCGCGCGAGGTGCCAATGCTTGCAGTTGCAACCGCTGACACTCACTCCCGAAGAGGCAGAAGACCAGCGTCAGTGGAGGGAAGATTTCTACACTAAATCGTAGTCAGCAGGACATGTCATAAACTTCATTAGAGGTTAGTTATGTCCCTGCAACTGCATAACCCCAAAAAATTAACTACAATTCAGATGTATATATTTGATACTGTCTCTGCACCCCAGAACCAACTCAAATCAGGGAGTCAGATACAGTAGTGAGAAAGCAGAAAAAAAGGTGTATGGTAAACATAAAATGCGGTGAAATTAGAGGAAGAAAACACAAAAGTAAACCTCTTAGTAGCTGCCTGAACAATGTTACACTCTGAAAGCTGTAAAGTTTCTCCCCCCCCCCCCCCC